AACTTCATCAAAAGCTATCCCAATAATTACTTTAAATTATTCTTGCCAAGGGCTGGGAATGTGGTTTAGTGGTAGAGTGCTTGCCTAGGATTCAATTCCTTAGTACCCCATAAATCAAAAAGCTGGAAGTGAGCTGGGCTCTGGTGGCTCACACCTGTAATCCTAGCTACTCAAGAGGCTGAGATCTGAGGATCACAGTTCAAAGCCAGCCCAGGCAGGAAAGTCTGTGAGACTCTTATCTCCAGTCTACAATAAACCACTCAGAAAACCAAAAGTGGTGCTATGGCTCAAATGGTAGAGTGTTAGCCTTGAGCAAAAGAGCTCAGGGACAGTGCCCAGGTCTTGAGTTCAAGCCCTATAACTGACAAAAAAAAAAAAAAAAGTCACATTGTTCTCATTCCTGAATGGTCACCAGGGGGTGGTTCTTCCTCTCAGAGCAAGGCCACCTTGGTCTGAATGCCAAAGCTATTTGGAATAGCCAAACTCACAAGGCAGGTCTTGGCAGTAATACCCATCCATGTACTGAGCTAGAATGCCAACAGACTGCTGTTAACCTCCTCTGCCAAGGACACATTAGTGTCCTGTAAGCTGGTAGGCAAGCTTCCTGGGGTTGTGAGGACATGAGGGCAGGGAAGTCCTCTAGGGCATCAAGTTGACAGCCCCCTACTACATTAGTTTCATAGAGACCAGAAGAGACCATCATAGGCTAGATGACTTTGATACTGATAATTCCTTGACTTGCAGTTGGGGCTGGGGGGGAGGGGGTGACTGGAAGTCCAAGATTGAAATGCCAGCAAGGCTAGTTTTTCTGAGACCTTTGTCCTAGATGCCTTCTATCTCTCTTCACACTAGTCTCCCTCTGTATGTGTGTCTGTATCCTAATCTTTTCTCATAAGGAAACCCATCATACTGATAAAAGCTCACTGGCCTGGCCTCATTTTTTCATCAATTAAAATCCCCAAATGTAGTCACATTGGAGAAATGGCAGTTAAGATTCCAACACAGAAATGTGAGAATAGGACTCAGCCTCTAACATCTTGTGCTGCAGGTGACCCCTACTCTGGGGTCTGTTCTCTTGCCGGTATGGCTTCAAACCCAAACGGACAGTACCCTCTGCCTCACCTAAAGCCAGCTATGATAGCCACAATGGAAGCTCTGAATGAAGCCTGGCTTTCCAACGGCCATTTTCACTTCAAGTTATTTTGGCCTGTTTCCTAGTTATCTACTGTTGCCAAATAGCAGGAGAGAGACAGTAAATAGAGTGATCCTCAGGGCCTAAGGCTGACTCAAGGTCAAGGTGACTTCTGAGGAGGGCTGAAGCCCAGGTGGTGAATGGGAAGCCTGGGCTCTTCCAGGCCCTGCTTGGCCAGGACTGGCTGGAAACAGAGCCTCTACTAGCAGCAAAAGGTGGGCAGAGCTTGCCTTGTGGGTAACCTCTGAGTATGAGGTCCTAATTAACCATTTAGGAATGAGAACAATTTGACTCTTGCAACAGTTCTTTTTTTTTTTTTTGTCAGTCTTAGGGTTTGAACTACCACTTGTTTTTTTTTTTATTTTGTTTTCAATCTGAATCTCACTTTTTTTTCCCTCTATGCCAGACTGAACCACAATTCTTCTATTTTTAAGCCTCCCAAGATAACTAGGATGACAGGTACACACCATCACATCCAACTTATTGGTTGAGATAGGGTTTTTTGTTTGTTTTGGCCTGGGCTAGCCTTGAACTATAATCCTCCTGATCTCTGCCTCCTGAGTATTATAGGCATGCGTCATAGCAGTTGGCTTTTTTTTTAAGATGAACTTCTCTATCCTCACTATCCTCACTATGTTGCCCAAGCTGGCCTTGAACTCATGATCCTCCTGCCTCAGCCTCTTGAGTAGCTAGGGGTTACAGGTGGTGTGCCACAACTTGGTTTGTACAGTTCTACTGATTAATTAATTGATTGACTGATTGATTGCCAGAACTGAGGCTTGAACTCAGGGCCTTGAGTTCTCATTTGGCTTTTTCATTCATGGCTGAGAACTCTACTACTTAAGCCACATCTCTACTTCCAGCCTTTTTATTGCTGATTGGAGATAAGAATCTAATCTTTTTTCTGTCTGCCCAGGCTAGCTTTGAACCTTGATCCCCAGATCTCAGCATCCTGAATAGCTAAATTTCAGGTGTGAGCCACCAGTACTCTATTGCTTACACAATTCTTGACTGCGGAGGGGGGCCGGGGGCGGGGGGAGGAAGAGATGGGAAGGGGAAACAAAGCAGGAGGCTACAATGCTTGATAAGAAATGTGCTCATTATCTTGCCCATGTAATTGTAACCCCTCTGTACAGTATTTTCACAATAAAAAAAAAATTCTTGACTGCCTACTTGCCTGTGTTATAAATACCTGCCAATTCCTTCTCCCTCTTCCTTCCCATCTTCAGTTTAAATGTAGGTATAGTCTTTGGGAAACATAATCTAGAGAAGTCAGGAAGTAATAATTATCTCCAATGATAGACTCAGGGACTGTAAGGCTATATAGGAAGCTTTGTCCAAATTCACCTTTCACTGCCTGCTCAGTGACAATGGAGCTGAACTTTGCAGCTGGCCCAAAGTTAGGCTTTATCAATATAGGAGGTTAAAGAGACAGTAAGAAACAAAAATTGCTTTCTCAGGCAGCTCCTGCAATCCATTTGGCTTCCACAGGCTCCTGCAGTGCACTGTAGCTACTGGCACCCAGGGGCCAGTACCTTTGCCCAACCTCTACCCTGTGACAGTTGCCAGAACCCCAGAAGGCAGATTTTCCAGTAAGTTCTGCCAACATGGAACTCAGGGACTTCTTTTTTTTTTTTTTTTTTTTTTATTGTGAAAATACTGTACAGAGGGGTTACAATTACATGGGCAAGATAATGAGTACATTTCTTATCAAGCATTGTTGCCTCCTCCTTTGTTTACCCTTCCCATCCCATCCTCTCCCCCCCACCCAACCCTCCTCCCCCCCACCACCAAAGTTGTAAAGTTCGTTTTCCACATAACGACTTGTACATCTCATTGTTGCAATGGGTCCACCTGTATCCCTATTTAAACGATTTGTTTTTTCCCTTTCCCTCCACAAATTATAACAACATCAAATACAGTGAAAGCAGGTATACAGTGGGGGAGGGACATACAAAGCAACAAAGAAAACATCTTATAAATATGTTAGAAACAATCACAAGAAAGAAAAAACATTTGAATACATATCTTAGGGTTCATTTCCCTAACATCAACTTATCTGACCTTTTCTGCTTGACTCAGACATATACTAGTTATTGCAAATAAGGGAAACCTTTGGACCTAGCTTACTTCACTTAATGTAATTTTTTCCAAGTCTTTCCATTTCCTAACAAATGGGGCAATGTCATTCTTTCTGATGGAGGCATAGAATTCCATTGTGTATATATGGAACTCAGGGACTTCTTAGACAGCTAATGGGTCATAGCCATATGCTTTCTGGCAAGGTCTGAAATCTTAACCTGGGGAAGGATGTGGCTCTGTCCTGGGTATCCCATCTCAACTCCTAGGGTAGTGGCTGCTCTTCATATAGGTTATGCCTAATTTGTCCCTACTGCCCATACCTTGGCCTCAAGTAAGAAGATTCAGCCACTATGTCAGGCAGAACAGTGTCTATAAAATCCTGCCCAGCCATTCAATGTGAGACCCAGGTAGAAATGGTCATTTAGAAAGCACAGTTCAAAATAACGAAAACTTCCCAGATAATTTGCATAGAGAGTCTAAATGTCTGCCTGCCTGCCTGCCTCCGTCCCTCCTTCCCTTCTTTCCTCCCTCCCTCCCTCCCTGCCTTCCTTCCTTTGTGTGCTGATCCTGGGGCTTGAACTCAGGGGCCTAGGTGCTATCCCTGAGCTTCTTTTGCACAGTGCTACTTGGGCCCACAGCTCCATTTCTGGGTTTTGGTTGTTTTTTTTTGTTTTGTTTTGTTTGATAGTTTGGTGGAGATAAGAATCTCACAGACTTTCTAGCTAGACTGGCTTTGAACCACGATCCTCAGACCTCAGACTCCTAAATAGCTAGGATTATAGGTATGAGCCACCGGCACCTGGCTCTGAACATCATTCTTGGTTGTGAGTTAAATTTCTGCCTCATTCTCTATGTGGACAAACACTAGCATGTCCTGAGGAATGGAAGGGCATGGTTAGGAGCCCATAGCTGGGGAGTAAGTAGGGTTGACTCCAGGCTTACCCTTATTTGTCCTCCATCTCCTACCTCCTTAGCTGATCCTTCAGCCTTTCCTGCAACTCTAGTCCTCATTTCAAAAGCCACAATTCCTTAGAAACTAATGACTTTATTACCGCATTACCACTTCGATTTCTCATTTGCACCTCAGACCTATCAGCTCACCAGGGTCTCACTGTAACCACCACCCACTTCTGCTTCCCTGGCCCTGATCAGAGTCCACAGAGCTGCGCCCCTAGCCTGGATCCAAGTCTGCTTCTGTGCGGCTCAGAGGCTCTTCATCTTTTTTTTTTTTTTTTGTCAGTCATGGGGCTTGAACTCTGGGCTTGGGCACTATCCCTCAGCTCTTCAGTTCAAGGCGAGCGCTCTACCACTTGAGCTACAGCACCACTTCCGGTTTCCTAGTGGTTTATTGGAGATAAGAGTCTCACGGACTTTCCTGTCCAGGCTGACTTTCCTGCCCAGGCTGGCTTTGAAGCAAGATCCTCAGATCTCAGCCTCCTGAGTAGCTAGGATTACAGGCGTGAGCCACCGGCACTCGGTGCTCTTGATCTTTTATCTCAACACTGAGCCCCTGCTATCAGAAGCATTGTGCCAGTACTCCACATTCAGTGACTACTGTCCAAGAAGACAGGCACATGCCTGGGCAGCTTGTCCTCTGGCCTCCTGCCATCTAGAGTTTGGCCTATACACCCTGTGGCCTGCCCTTTCTCCTATACGTGGCAGGATAAGAACCAGCTGGACACCTAAGGCTTAGTAGAATAGGGCAGATGCAAAACAAGGGTGTTACCTGTATGCATTTTTAGAAACAGGGTGAGGATCGAACTTAAAGAAGATGATGCACATGAGTTGTGAGGGGCCACGTCTCTGAGGTCACGAGGTCTGTAGGAAAAGGAAATGATGAGTTGAATAAACAGCAGATAACAAGCAGGGCACTGATGGCTTATGCCTGTCATACTAGCTACTCAGAAGGCTGAAATTTGAACATCACAATTTGAAGCCAGCCTGAACAAACAAATCTAAGAGACTCTTATCTCCAATTAACCAGCAAAAAAGCTGGAAGTGGAGCTGTGGCTCAAGTGCTAGAGCACTAGCCTTTAGTGAAAAAAGCTCAGGGCAGTGCCCAGACCCCAAGTTCAAGTCCTAGTACTGGCACACACACACACACAAAAAAAAAAAAGAAAAGAAAAAAGAAAAAGAAAAACAGAACAGATGACAGCAGGGTCTTGCTGAACCTACAATGTCCCTGAACAGGCCATCACCAATGAGCGGGGCTGGACAAGTGAGAATCAGGTGCTTTTAGCCCTTCACCTGTGAGTTCATTAGCCCTGTGATGAGTGGGTGCTGGAGGGGGTAACAGCAGCAAGAATAGGAACCGTTCACACACATAGCTAGGGCCAGTGTGTGGCAAACCCTTCTCTGCAAGGGCACCAACTCCTCCCCACAAGCCATCTCAACCCATGGCACCACACCCCCAGCACACCCCACTCACCTGGGATGCTAGGCAGCATGTGTCCCCAGCAGGCCTTCATCCAGTACACATGCCCACCACCTACAGACCTAAGAGCTCCATGCACCCACATTAGCAGACAAGGAGAGATGTGTGCCAGCCCTGGGTTCTAGGTGGGTGTGGATTAAGTTCATAGTTCCTTGCCACAAAGACCCTGTAGCCCAGGGACTTCTGGAACCCAAAAGGTATTTTCTACTTCTGAGTCAAAAACTGAGATTAGATCTTAAACCACTAACTCTGGAAAGGGAACCTAAAGTTCTCTGAAATGTGCAGCTGGCACCCACAGCTGGAAATGGGCAGCCAAGCAGATGTTCTACTACTGATTCCTCTAAGAAAGGTCTAATGATAGAAAAGTAAATCAGGCTCAGATGGGGAGGTGAGCACCAGTGGGAGTAGAGAAGGCTAACAAAGAGGGTAGATGAGGATGAATACAGTAAAAATAGTTTATTTATATGGATAAAAGCAACAATAAAGCCTGCCGTAAGGAAGTGGGATGGAGAAAAATAACAGGTGAGGCTGATTGACATATACTGTTGACACATATGGAAATGACACAATACCCCCCCATACAATTAATGTACACTAATAAGAAAAAATAGCCAGCTGGGTGCTGGTGACTCATACCTGTAATTCTAGCTACTCTCAGGAGAGTGAGATCTGAGGACTGAGGTTTGAAAACAGCTTAGGCAGAAAAATCTGAGATTCATCTCCAAGTTAACCAGCAAAAAGCTGGTGACTCACTCCTGTAATCCCAGCCACTCAGGAGGCTGGGATCTTAGGATCACCATTTAAAACAGCTGTGTGACTCTTATCTCCAGTTAGCCACCCAAAAGCTGCAAGTGGAGCTGGCTCTCCAGTGATAAGAGTGCCAGCCAGCACCTAGGCCCTGAATTCAATCCTAATACTGGCACCAAAAAAAAAAAAGAATATATATATGTTCAATGTACCTTCACAGATATGAGTCTGCAATGTGTATAAGTGCATGGATGTGTGTATTCATACACATATACTATCTTCAAGTGATTACATGTAAGCATATATGTGTAATAGAGGGCACTGAGCTCCAGAGAAAAAGCACCTTAGAGGTCCAAGAGGGCTGTGCCACATCTTGAGGAGCCCTAGAGACCAGGTCATGCTGTGTTCTATCTTGGGGTACCCTGGAGACTAAGGAGGGTTTATTCAGTGTCCCTAGTGCCAGAAGTCAAGCAGGCAGTACCCACGAGAACTTGAAACTGTAAGCCTGTAAATTGGGTTATGTCAGGTCCCTAGTGGGTGAGGTGCCCAGGCTCAGCCCATTCTAACTTCGCATCTCAATAGATCATGGCATTTCTGCTTCTCTGCCCTGAGCTTCCAATCACCCATATTGGACATTGTCCTTGGTGAGGGTCCTCAAACCTCTCCCAGTGGCTATACAAGCACAGGCTGGGGAAGGCTGTGGCTCACTGTTTTAGGACAGAAGATCCCCCACAATCACTGGCTCTGGTAAAGGCCCAAGCCCTAGCTCTGGGGGGCAGAGCGAGCTCCTAGCTGACATTAGCAGCAATAAAACCATTACAGACTGTGTCTCAGCACTCACAGAACAAGCACCAACCGATCTAGCTATCACAAGAGGCAGCACCACAAGATGACGGGTTTAATCCACAATCTGCAGTAGACAGACATGACCTAAGCTCAATGTCAGAGAAGCTGCCAAGTTCATGAGGCCTTCCTGTAGACAATACAGGCTGTCTCCCACTCACTGGATTCACCTTATCATCTAGGAACACTTTGTCTCCTACTGTCTCTACTGTCCCTACAGTCCCCATCTGTCCCAAGGGACATATGCCCACCTGGCCCTAGAGGTATCCCACCAGGACTAAGCCTTGGCTCAGCAGTTCCTCTGCTTACTCACCTTTCTCCTTGGTCTATTTTGTGCCAAGTCTACCACAGGATAGGCATCAATGATGGCCATCTGAGGACTAGTCCCCTAGTTTAGAGAGTAAGTGAGGGCTATGCAGGTGATGCATCACCATGGTGATAAGAACCATCTGCAGCAGCACAGGATGATGGGAGATGGGCTGCTGGCTACTGCCTCAAAGGGATGCTCATTGCAGAAAGGCCCTGTGTGGCTGAGGTCCAGAGGTCAGAAGGGGGCTAGGTCCATTCCCCAGTTCCCTAAGCAGTAATAATACAAGGAGACGGAGCATGCTGGGCTTCAGGAGGGCCCCAGGTGCCCCTCCCACCAGGTGCTGTAGATAGAGGGTCCCAGAAGCCACCATATGTCCTGAAGATACAAATGCCTAGCCCTGGGGAGTTGGTCTTTCTCTGACATAAACACCTACCAAGCTGTGATCACTGAGAGAAATCCTGTCAGCCAGGCCTTCCTGGAATCCCACTGGCCCAGGGGCCAGGGGCTGCCCAAGGCCCTATTCTGAGAACTACCCACCAGGAAAACACTGTTCTATAGTGTCAGAGGAGACCAACACTCTTGGCCTTGGCCTACTTTAGCCTTTCCTGAACTACATGCCCAGCCACTAGGTAGGGCCACTGACAGGGGCAGCTTTGGCCACTGTTTGATAATCAGACTTCTCTTCCAGTTCAGCGCAGGAGCCTGTCATCCTAGCAGGCCTAGGTAGGAAACACACCAGTCCTCCGGACAGCAGTGGTGGGGAGGGCTCTGAAGTCCTCAGCAAAGTCCTCAACAGGTCTCTGGGAAGACGAGCTAGAGGTGCTGGCGCAGAGCCCAGGACTGTAGCCTTGATGAAGACGTGGTCATTAGGAGGGAAGGACCAGAGGAAAGCCAGCCCCTGGGGAGGGGACCATCAGGAACTGCCTTTCTCTCCAATCCCTCGCCCCCCACTCAAGCCAGGTCCGCTGCCCACTGGTCCCTCCACCTGGCTTTGGCCAGCAGGCTACCTTCTCTTTTCCTCTTTACCTTGCACTGCAACTCCTCCTTACCTAGACTCCCAGAAGCTTCCTCAGCAAACTCCTGGATCCAACCTTGGACCCACCAAGGAAGACCCAAGTTCCTCTACTCCTACTAGCCTTGGACACCTTTCATCAGGGCTGGCAAAGGGGTTGGCCATGGGCACAGCCTCTGGCTTCCAGGTGAATGCACTGTGTGCAGGGCAAGTGGACATGTGGGGAACCAGAACCACCCAACAAACTCCAGGCCATTCTAATCTTGCTGCTGTGACTCAGGGCAACTTCCTGTGGTTTTCATGGCCATCAGAGCCCAGGTGCCACAGGTGAGACTGGAGCTTAATCTTACTTATCATCTACATGTTCCACAAGGACCTCACCTAAAAGACACCTCAGCTGGGCAGAAACAAGCCTGATTTTCTCCGTAATAGCTCCACCCTGCCTGGCTCCATCCACAAGCTCAAACACTGAACTCAGTGGAATGCCACATGTCATGTCCTTGGCAGCCAGAATAGTGAAGACGATGCAGGATTACGGAATTACCCGAGACCCAGGTGACCAAGGCCGAACCAGATGAGAGCAGGTAAAGGGAGATCAAGGCAGAAGGGCCAGAGACTTGCCATGGGCCTCAGGAGCCTTGACTTGGGGTCTGAGAATTGGAAAGCAGCTGCGCTCCACTTTTGTGTCCTGTGATGGATGCTGCTTGCCCAGATGGCTAAGGAGGCCCCAGTGGCAATCTGCAGACATGGCTCATTTTACCAACTGTGCTCAGATGGTCACATGCAGTTTTCTTCAGGTATAAGGGCTCCCCAGACCTCTAATCCCTTCTCCAGGTCTCACAGCCACAATGAGACACAGGTAGGGAGTAGGGAGAAGCCTCCACCTATAATGAAATGACACAGGGGCCACATGGTCCTAGAAGAGGTTGGCTGAGAGCACCAGAGGGCAGAGAGAGGATGTAAAAGAGCTCCTTCCCGGAGCCTCAAGTCCACAGGTGACATCTATCACTGAGAGCTCAGGTAGCATGTCTTAAGGACACAGAACAAGGATGTAGCAAGGTGAGTCTGAAGGCCTGTTGGGGAAGGAGGCTGCTGGTTAGACTTGCTGTGTTAAGTGGGTTTCCTGAAACCTATACTCATTCTCAAGGACCAGGACACCTACAGCAATGGGTCCATCTACCTGCTCTACCCCAGCTGGTCCACAAAATGTTCTGCTCAGCCACTTCATGGCAACACCTGGACACCACATCATTTCACAGTGGCCTGCTTCCTCACTGACCTCCCAGGAGCAGGGCCAGCTGACCATCCCCAGGGAATCCCAAACTCTGCACCCTGGAGTCTCTTCACCATGGTATTCTTGCAACACCATGCTCCACAACTCACATCCACTTCTCTTTGCTGAACAAGCAACATGACAACCAGGAAATCTTTGTAACAATCAAAATTACATATAAAGCTGATCCTGGGAGTGGTTTTGTCGTGTGTGTGTGTGTGTGTGTGTGTGTGTGTGTGCGCGCGCGCGCGCGCGCACACGCCAATCCTTGAGCCTGAACTCATGGTCCTGGTGTTATCCCCAACCTTTTTTTTTTTTTTTGCTAGTCCTGGGGCTTGAACTCTGGGCCTGGGCACTGTCCCTGAACTTTTTTGCTCAAGGCTAGCACTCTACCACTTGAGCCACAGGGCCACTTCGACTTTTTCTGTTTGTGGTAGTTGAGGAATTGAACCAGGGCTTCATGCATGCCAGGTAAGCACTCTACCAAGCCACTGAGCTTTATTGCTCAAAGTGAGCACTCCACTACTTGAGCCATCGCTCTACTTCTGGCTTTTTTGATGGCTAACTAGAGATGAGTCTTGTGAACTTTCCTACCAGGCTGGCTTCTAGCCATGATCCTCAGATCTTAAGTCTCCTAAGTAGCTAGAATTACAGATATGAGCCACTGACACCAGGTCTGGGGAGGGGCAGGGAAGTTTTTTTTTTTTGTTTTTTGTTTTGTGGGTCGTGGGTCTTGAACTCTGGGCCTGGGCGCTATCACTCAGCTCTTCAGTTCAAGGCTAGCGCTGTCACTCAACTCTTCAGTTCAAGGTTAGCGCTCTATCACTTGAGCCACTGCACCACTTCTGGGCTTCTGGTGGTTAATTGGAAATAAGAGTCTCACAGACAGGGCTGAGAAGGTGGCTCAGTGGTAGAGTGCTTGCTTTGCATGTATGAGGCCCTGGGTTCGATTCCTCAGCACCATATAAGCAGAAAAAGCCAAGAAGTGGCAGTGTGGCTCAAGTGTTAGAGTGCTAGCCTTAAGCTAAAGAGCTGAGGGACAGTGCCCAGACCCAGAGTTCAGGCCCCACAACCAACCAAAAAGAAAAAAGTCTCAGGGACTTTCCTGCTCTGGCCAGCTTCAAACTGTGATGCTTAGAACTCCACCTCCTAACTAGCTAGGATTATAGACGTGAGCCACCAGTGCTGGGCCACAGTGTGAAGTCTTACCAAACTCAAGAGGCTGCAGTCTGAAGGGTATGTTCTCTCTCAAAGTACCTAACAAGGGCCAAAATTGTACCCCCTGGCTCTGGGTGCATTAAAAAAGCCTGAACATCAGCACCTCCCATTGACCACTCAACAAGGGGCTCTAATTCTTAATTCTGTCCTTTGCCTGACTAGCAACACCCAAGGAAGAAGTACAGTGTGTACCTATGCCAAATGCTCCCACCTACAGCCTAGCCAGTTATAGGTAATTGTGTGTGCCACAGGCTTCCCCCATTCCAACATAAGCACTGGCCTTAAGTAGTCACTACAAAGTAATCTCTAAGTCTCAGAATGTCCTGCCTAGCACAAGTGTCCTTATTTACCTGAAGCCTTGGACAACAGCAGACAGTACATTAACCAAGTGACTTCCAGTAGAAATCTTGGACCACATGCTATCAGCCAACTTCTGAAGAGACTAGATAGATACTAAGTTAGGCCAGCCACCAATCAGCCAAGCCTATGTGACTGACCCACAATGAAAACACAGACACTAGGCTCAGGTGGGCTTCCCTATTAGTAACATTTCACTTGTTACATTACTAAGGAAACTAGGCAGGACTTTCATTGGAAAGTCCAATTTGGAAGTCTGTTCCTGGACTCTCCTAGACTCTGTTATTGATTTTTACTTATTTACCTATTTATTAACTGCTGGTACTAGGGCTTGAACTCAGGGCCTGGGCACTGTTCCTTATCCCTACTGCTGAAGTCTGGTGCTCTATCACTTGCGCCACAGCTTTCCTTCTCTCTTTCCTTTTTTTTTTTTTTTGGTCAGTCGTGGGGCTTGAACTCTGGTCCTGGGCGCTGTCCCTCAAATCTTCAGCTCAAGGCAAGCACTCTACCACTGCAGCCACAGCGCCACTTCTGGCTTTTTCTGCTTATGTGGTGCTGAGGAATCAAACCCAGGGCCTCATACATGCGAGACAAGCACTCTACCACGGAGCCACCTTCGCAGCCCCTCTATTTTTTTTGTGGTCAACTGGAAATAAGTCTCATGGGCCTTTCTGCCCAGATTGGTTTTGAACCTCAATCCTCAGATCTCATCATCCTGAGATTCATGTGTTATTCATGTTTATTTTTCACTTTTGGTGTGCTAATAGAAAATTAGTGTCTTAAGCATGAGTTTAGCAGCAAGATTTTAAAAACAAAGTTACATTCAATCTCTAAGTCAAACTGGTCAAAGCTTTCCTACTATTTACATATTTATACATTATTTATTTATTTATTTATTTTTGTAAAACTGCAGTTTTGAACCCAGGGCCTCATGCTTGCTAGGGGCAGGTGTTCTATCATTTGTAACATATCTGCAGACCTTTTTGTTTCAGGTAAGGTTTCGGTTGCCAGTCATCAGCCTTAGACCATGATCTTCCTACTTCTGCTTTGAATGTTGCTGGGATTATAGGTAAGACTTGTTCTTTGAGATAAGGTCTTGGTAGCTTTTTGCTCAGGCTGGTCTCAAAATTTAAAAAAAAAAAATTGCCTAGATAGGAGCAGTGGTTGTGCTCCCAGCTCATACAGAACTGTTGTTCCCTTCACTACTGTCTACCAGGCACACGATGGATGGATGCACATACATGCTGTGTGACTCTGTCCATGTCATATTTGCATAAGGCTCCTCTTATGTAAATATGATGAGAAAAGTTTCAGGTTTCAGTGCCCTGCAACAGTCATCACTTACCAATCCCAGTAGGGTCCAGGGGTTCTCTGTGGACAGCTCTTGGGTATCAGGGCCTCCCCATCTCCAGTCACCTCAGCATTGACCAGAATCCAGGTGCCATGGCTGGCTCCACACTGAGCAAGTGGATACGTGCAAGTAGGCACTGGTCCAGGAAGCCTGCCTTCCTTCAGGGTCCAGCCCTTTCTAGAACAAATGCCCACAGGACATGTGTGGCTTGTGTTCAGGGAGGCCCAGGAATAACACCACTTGGAACCTGGCACTGCCACTGATGACCCTGCTAGAGAAGGGGAGGGAAGGTTGCCAGGGCTAAATATCCATCTCTATGTTTGAACTTGGGATGCAGCCAGTCCTTTGTAGGGGACACAGTACAATTTACCACTTGAAAGGACACCACCACCACACACACACCAGAGCTTTCCACAAACCTGGTATCCCTGGGCACACTTGAGCCCCAGCCCAAAGGACTTGTAAGATTGGAAGGAAAAGAAAAAACTCTGGCACCCCACCACCAAGGGCCTCCCTCTTATCCTCTAAGAATGCCAGTGGGAACCTCCCAGAATGTCAGCTTCACTTTCCCTGGTCTACCAACCTGATAATTCTGTAGAACAGGAAAAAAGATCCTGGATTTGGCTCTAGAGTTATTCTTAGTACTAGTGCTGGCTGGGAACAGAGGCTTTCAAGGCACTCTCTGCCCATGTGTGATAGTGCTTTCAAGAACTCTCTCACCATCCTTTTTGAGAGAATCAAGCCACCTAGAGAGCCCCTCTCCAGCCAGGCACTGACTCCTTCCTCCTTCCCTGAATTCTCAGAGAAACCAGTCCTTTGTTACAAAAGGCCAAAGGCCAAGTGGAAAGAGGTAAAGTCCTCTCCGTGAGAAGACTCCAGGTGAGCCAAGATCTAAATTTCACTGCATGTATTGTGTAAAAGGAGACAACAAGAAAGGCAGGCCTGGCACATGGTGATGACAGTCACTCCAATGAGAGCTGGGTGAAAGAGGCCCACAGACCACACAACATGACACAGGGAAACAAGAGGGACCCATGGGCTACACTGTCACTGCTAGCCCAGAGGATGAGCTACACAGGGTAGGCCTCAACAGAATGTGATAGAGCCTAGAACGCATCACAGATGTCCTCTAGACTCTACCTGCTGCCAGCCTCACCTGCCAAGCTACCTTCTCCAGTGTTTGCATACCACTGTCCCCCATACCCACCAGCCCACTTGTTGGCCCACCTTTGCTTCCACATGCCACAATCCTATGTTCCCTATGTTCTGCTACAGCAGCTCCTCGGGACTGGATGGACTGGAACCTAGTTGTTGCCCCCATTGTCAGGGCCTCCCATGGGCACACTCTTGGAGGGCAAGTTTCCAATGACAATGTAAGGCAGGAGATCCATCTGGAGGGCTGTGTGTTGTCAGGATTTTGCAACAAGCACATAGGTTGTGTCCCATGTGCAGACCTGGCCAATTCCTTCTACACACCCAGCACTAGCACCTGACATCAGGTGTGTGGTGATAGGAAATGTTCCTGCCAGGAGCATCTTCTGGCTGCTAAATGTCTTACGACTGTTGGCCTTTACCAATGGACCACCACTTTGGATATTGACTGACCCCAGGCCTTTCTCTTCCAGATCTGTACTGTGGCTGGTAGATATGGGCACCCACATACCTCTCCCATGACCTCCAACTGTTTCCCCAGCCTAAGCAAGAAAATACCTGAGACTTTTTGTTTGTTTATATCTTGGTTGGTTATGGGGCTTGAACTCAGGGCCTGGGCACTGTCCCTGAACTTTTTCACTCAAAGCTAATGCTCAGCCGGGCATTGGTGGCTCACGCCACCAATCTCAGATCTCAGGAGACTGAGATCTGAGGATCACAGTTCAAAGCCAGCCCAAGCAGAAATGTCTGTGAGACTCTTATCTCCAATTAACCACCAGAAAACCAGGAAGTGGCTCAAGCCCCCCACTGATATAGATGAAGGAGGTAAAGAACAAGAAGGCAGGGAGAGCCTGAGTGGGCTGCCCACACTCAAATGACAGGACAGATCAGATCCATGCAAAACACCCTGGTTCAGGGCTAAGCACAGTTCAACAACTACCCTGGGTCCCTCCTATGGTGACATAAGGATACTTCTCTTGGTCAACTACAAAGGCAAACTGAGCATGTGGGCCAAAGAAAGAAAGTGCAAAATCACAGTGCAGGAATGACAGTGCAGGGACGTATTTCTACTGAGACACAGGGCCAAGGGACCTAGACATGGAAAAGTAGCGCTCCAGGGCAGGATGGTCTAACAGCTTGTATGTACAGTGGCTCTAGACAAGTTATCTGAGCCCTACAGTCTGCTGACCCACTTAATTATGCGCTGTACTGTCCACGAGTGGGAATATGTTTTTAAAGCCAGCCAGCTCAACAGTCTGCAGAGGCTGGCAGAGCGACAAGGTTCCTCAGGTTCCCAGAGAGCAATGAGGCAGAGCTGAGCAGCCAGGCACTCAACCCCACTTTGCCCCACCTTCTACAGCTGCTATATTGTGGTGGTGGCCCCTGGGGGCAGAGCTGCTCTTTTAGCAAAACAGGACAGACACAGACACGTGATAAGATGTGATGTGGGCTCTGGCAGCTGCCAGCAGAGGTGGTAAACACACATGGGAACACAGTGTCACTGTTCCTAGGGCCTTGGCTGAGAAAACCCTGACGTCTGGAAATCCTTGGCCAATCCCACTCCAATGCCCTGCCCTCCCCCTATCAGCAGCAAAAGCCAAGCAAGCTACACTTTCTCATCTTAGCTATTACATGGCATTTCACCATGACAAACTTTCTACCGTGATATTCTCTTTTCTGATCTTCACATTGTTTTGAGGACATTAATTCAGCCTCACACTAGGTTGTCATTGTCCTTTCATAGTTCAAAGGAACTGCACAGATGGTGGGCATGGAAAGTCTAGACGTATGACAGCCTTTACATCTCAGGCTCCTCCTGGTAGAAATGCCTGGCTTCCCCACAGCAAGAAACAGGCCAGCCTCAAGGTGGTCCCTGCTGCTGCTCCTGGTGTGTAAAAACAAGAGGCTAGGAGCCAATGACTCCTGCCAGCTACTCAGCGGGCTGAGATCTGAAGATTGAGGTTTGAAGCTAGCCAGCTAGAAAAGTCCATGTCTGGGCTGGGAAGGTGGCTTAGTGGCAGAATGCATGAAGCCTCTTATGAATGAAGCCCTGGGTTTGATTCCTCAGTACCACATAAACAAAAAAAGCCAAAAGTGGTGCCTTGAGCCAAAGAAGCTCAGGAACAGAGCCCAGGCTCTGATTTCAAGCCCCAGGACTGGCCAAAAAAAGAAAAAGAAAAATCCATGTCTCATGGACCACCAAAATCCAGAAATGGCCAAGTGGAGGTGGCTCACACCTGTAAACCTAGCTACAGGAGACTGAAATCTGAGAATCATGGTTTATAAGGCAGGAAAACTCATCTCCAATTAACCACCAGAAAACTGGAAGTAGAGCTGTGGCTAAAAGTGATGAGTATTATTAGCCTTGCGCAAAAGAGCTCAGGAATAGGGTTTGGGAAGGTGGCTCAGCAGTAGAGTGCCTGACCTGCATGCATGAGGCCCTGGGTTCGATTCCTCAGCACCATATAAATAGAAAAGGCCGGAAATGGTGCTGTAGTTCCAATGGTAGAGCACTAGCCTTGAGCTGAAGAGCTCAGGGACAGTGCCCAGGCCTAGAGTTCAAACCCCGCAACCGACAAAAAAAAAGCTCAGGAATAGTGCCCAGAACCTGAGTTTAAGTCTTATGACCAACAACAACAACAAAAATCCAGAAGTAGACCTGTGGCTCAAGTGGTAGTGGTAGAGCTCCAGCCTTAAGCAAAAAAAAAAAAACAAGGGACATTGCCTAGGCCCTGAAAAAAAAAAAAAAAAACTAAGGGATATTGCCTAGGCCTTGAGTTCAAGCCAGAGGACTGGCACCCAAAAAATAAAAATAAAAATTAAGGCATTCTAAACAAACCTGCCAAGGAAGAAAAAGGCAAGCATTTAAGTTAGCATGATGTAGATGTTGCTGATATACCCTGAGGGGGGCAGCAGCTGGGATACAGAGGGCATTTTTTTTTAAGTTGTATATATTATTTTTGCAATCTAAAAACAAAGTTGAGAGAAAAGAGGGAGAGAAAACCTGAAGTAACAGCCTCAAAGGTCAGTTCAGTTGCTTTGGGGTGACCTTGTTCCCAGATCCTATTGCCAACTCCAGTGGTCTAGACAAACAAGTGTTAGACTGATGTACTACTATTATATGATGATTGACACATTAGTTCTTACCCATCTGTAGTGTCAATGACAAGTGTGGGCCACGCCTAGGTGACCTCGAGCTAACCTCCAGTCTAGCATCATTTCTCTCCTAAGCCCCTCTCTTCATACATTCTCTGCAGTAGTACCCATGGGCAGACATCAGGGTGCCTGCAGAATTCACCTTCTGGTACAGCCACCCAGCATCAGTGGCTCACAACTGAAATTCTAGCTTCTTAGAAGGCTGAGCTCAGAGAATTGTGATACAGAGCCAGCCCAAGCAAAACAGTGACACTCTTATCTCCAATTAACCACCAAAAAGTCAGAAAAACAGGTTGCAGCTCAAGTGCTAGAGCACCAGCCTTACATGAAAAAAACTAAGGGACAGACCAGGCCCTGATTTCAAGCCCCAGAACCAGCATACACATATGCACACATGCACACACACAGCAGGCATGAGAGCCACCCCATAACACTGCATGTGAATATACCCATCATGAACCTTAGCGTGTGCAATGATGCATAAGTAAAGACATCAATGAAATTGCAGGGGCTGGGCAACTTGGGCAGAGGATCACCAATCACCTCTGTGCAGGGAAATGCTAGGTCATCACACACCAGAGCAAGCAGAGGCTCTAACTGAGGTGTCTATAGTCCAAGAGAACAAACTGGGGATCCATGATAGAGGGTCCTCAAAGAGATTCCCACCCAGCCCAGCTGTGTAACTGGTATCCTTAGGAAGGGACAGAGGTTTTGCTGTGGCAAATCACCAATAGCCAACTTCACTAGCTGGCCCCACGTAACAGGTCACCTGATGCAAGATGGCTCATCAGAGGGGACCCAGGAAGAGCAAAAGCACTGAGAGCCAGCTTTAGCACTTAACAATCTTGGTATCAGCCCCTGCTCCTTAGCCTGAGTTCTCT